CGGTCCTCCGAATGGCGGGGTCGTGGTCGCGCCCAAGGAGCAATCGAGCAAGGAGGCGGCTTCAACGAAGAAGAAGGGACAAACCGATCCGCCGTGTGCTTCAAGGAAGGGCACACCGCAGCTCTCGTTGTTGGTACCGCTTTGATGAGGACTTCGTCCCTAAAGAAAGGCATGCGATGGCGGCGACCAGTTCATACAACATCGACACTAACTGGTACACCGACAAAGCAGCTCCACCGACCACATCACCAAATGAAGTTAGAGAAACTCTCCATGCGCGAGAAGTACAATGGTGGTGATCAGATCCACACCGCAAGAGGTGCAGGTATGGCAATTAAACATGTTGGTCAATCTACTATTGTTTCCCCTAGCCGCAATCTCCAGTTAAAAAATGTTCTGCATGTCCCTAAGGCTTCCAAAAATCTTGTTTCAGTTCATCGATTTACTTCTGATAATTCTGCCTACATGGAATTTCACCCCACTTATTTTTTGGTTAAGGATCAGGCAACCAAGAAAACTCTGCTTAAAGGTCGTTGTCATCAGGGGCTATATCCTCTTCCTTCACCGCCAAAACAAGTCCTCGCAGCATCTCGATTGTCCCTGTCTCGGTGGCATGAACGACTAGGACATCCAGCTTCCCCGGTCATCCGTCGCATCATTAGTAATAATAGCCTTTCATTTGCTTCAGAGTCCAATAATGAGCATGTGTGTGATGCTTGTCAACAAGCAAAGGCACACCAGTTACCCTATCCTAAGTCAGTGAGTCCATCTAGTGCTCCCTTAGAACTTGTGTTCTCTGATGTATGGGGTCAAGCTGTCGAGTCTGTTGGCAGAAAACAGTATTATGTTAGTTTTATTGATGACTACAACAAGTTTACCTGGATCTACCTCATTAAGCATAAGTCTGAAGTTTTTCAGAAATTTCATGATTTTCATAACCTAGTTGAAAGGTTGCTTGATCGCAAGATAAAAGCCATCCAAACTGATTGGGGTGGTGAATATCAAAGGCTTAGTTCCTTTTTTACTAAAGTTGGCATTTCGCATCAAGTTTCATGTCCTCATGCGCATCAACAAAATGGTGCAGCCAAGCGCAAACATCGGCACATCGTTGAAGTTGGTTTAGCTCTTCTTTCAGGCGCCAGCATGCCGCTGAAATTTTGGGACAAAGCGTTCCTCACAGCCACATACCTCATCAATCGCCTTCCTAGTGCAGTCATCAATTTTACTACCCCTCTAGAGCGTCTCTTTGGTCAAAAACCAGATTACTCCTTTCTACGAACGTTTGGTTGTGCCTGTTGGCCCAATCTTCGCCCATATAATGCCCATAAACTCCAGTTTCGCTCTAAGAGATGCGTCTTTTTGGGTTATAGTAATCTTCACAAGGGGTATAAATGTCTGGACATCACATCTGGGCGTGTCTATATCTCTAGAGATGTCACATTCGATGAAACAATCTTTCCTTTTGCCGAGATGCATCTCAATGCGGGTCCTCGTCTGTGCTCAAAAATTCTTCTGTTATCTCCTGATTCCGTGGCTATCCGAGGGGACAGTAGTTTTGATGATCAACATGTTAATTTGCCTGTTGATTTGCCTAATGTATCTAACAATTCTGCCGGAGCCCCTAGTTTGCCTCAGGCACCAGGTATACACGTTGAAAGCAAAGCAGACATGGATCACGGAGATGTTTCTCGGTGCCTATACGTGATCGGATCAAGATCGGTCCAACCACCGGGGCCAATCAGCCACACATACACCATCACCGTGTCAGCCAAGTGTCTCCAACACCGATGATGATGCCGTATCTCGGACCCGGGAGATTTCCGTCGGTGGGATCCTCTACGGCGGTCTGATGCAGAAGAAGTCGCAGCTCCTGCTCCTCCGTAAGAAGTCGCAGCTCTTTCTCCTCCAAATTTCCCGCCGGCGGTTACATAAAGCTCCAACATGGCATTCAAAAGAAGAAAATTTATACTTGATGGCACTTTGTCGGTATGGGATGTTAGCAAGCACCGGTGAACCGATCGATCTAGCGATGCAATCGCAGGATAAAAATTGGAAACAGGCCATGAACTCTGAATATGAAGCACTGATGAGGAACAAGACATGGCACCTAGTTCCACCATAGAGGGGAACCAATGTTATAGGGTGCAAATGGGTGTATAAAATCAAGAGAAAGTCTGATGGGAGTCTAGATCGTTACAAGGCTCGTCTTGTGGCCAAGGGCTTCAAGCAAAGGTATGGAATAGATTATGAAGATACATTCAGTCCAGTAATTAAGGCTGCAACTATTCGAGTTATATTGTCTCTAGCTGTATCTTGTGGATGGTCTCTTCACCAACTCGATGTGCAAAATGCATTTTTACATGGGCTCTTAGAAGAAGATGTATACATGCATCAACCTCCTGGCTTTGAGGATCCAAACCGGCCAAATTATGTGTGCAAACTTGATAAAGCCTTATATGGGTTGAAGCAAGCTCCTCGAGCATGGTACTCCAGGTTAAGTGAACGGTTGATTCAATTGGGGTTTAAGGCATCCAAGGCTGACACATCCTTGTTCTTCTTCAGTAAGGGAGGCATCACAATGTTTGTTCTTGTGTATGTCGATGACATAATTGTGGCAAGTTCCACCGAGCAAGCAACAAGTGCATTACTTCGAGATCTTAAAGAACAGTTTGCATTGAAGGACTTGGGAGAGCTTCACTATTTTCTTGGTATTGAGGTGCATAAAACAAGCGGTGGAATTCTGCTTACACAAGAAAAATATGCGTCTGATCTACTGAAGAGGGTCGGCATGGCAGACTGCAAGCCGGTCAATACACCGTTATCCACTAGTGAGAAGCTATCTCTGTATGAAGGAACTCCTCTAGGGGCTCAAGACACCACAAGATACAGAAGCATTGTAGGAGCTTTGCAATACCTAACATTAACACGACCGGATATCTCATTTGATGTGAATAAGGTTTGTCAGTTCCTTCATGCTCCAACCACAATACATTGGGAGGCCGTGAAAAGAATATTGAGGTATATAAAGCAGTGCACTGGACTTGGACTAAAGATCCACAGTTCGGCTTCCACACTAGTAAGCGCCTTCTCAGATGCTGACTGGATAGGCTGTGTGGATGACAGAAAATCCACGGGAGGATTTGCGGTTTTTATAGGAACCAATTTAGTGTCCTGGAGTGCTCGCAAACAATCCACTATCTCTAGATCGAGTACTGAAGCAGAGTATAAAGCAATAGCCAATGCTACGGCAGAGGTTATGTGGATACATACCTTGTTACATGAGATCGGTGTGAAGAGTCCTAATGCTGCAAAATTATGGTGTGACAATCTAGGCGCCACATACCTTTCAAGCAATCCTGTGTTCCATGCTAGAACAAAACACATTGAGGTGGATTATCATTTTGTGAGAGATCGGGTCAAGCAGAAACGTTTGGAAATCGATTTTGTTTCCTCCAAGGATCAAGTAGCTGATGGATTCACCAAGGCTCTGCCTGTACGGCTTGTTGAGAATTTTAAGATCAATCTCAACTTGGCAAAGTTGTGATTGAGGGAGGCTGTTAGAAATAGCTTGTGATATGTCAATGTAAATCCTGTAACGTGATCTTAGGTAGACCGGCATGAGAGCCCTTGATTGTAGGGTTGTTACCAAAGATAGAAATTGTTGTATAGGATCCTAGAAACATGGAACTCTCATGCTGTGATCTCCTGAGTCAGTTACCTTGTAAATGTGCTACATATATCAACACGAACGGCGCCCCTGGCTATCATCTTGCCAAGCGCTTCCACCATCTGCCCTCTGTATTTTACAGTAATCACTTTCAAAATCACCCGTAGCAATACGGCAGCACGGTAGACCTAAGCGTCTGTACCATGTAATTAGGTATATGGCAATACAGCAACACATAGGTCTCGTTTGATAGAGTTCTCACTTACTCAAGCTTTTCTGACGCATGCAAACAGAAGCTCTTTTCTCTCATCCTCTCACAGAGCTGGTGGAGACAGTTTTTTTTCCTTCACCTAGCTTCACCGGCTCTGTGAGAGGAGAGATGAGAGACAAAAAAGAGCTCCTATGAACAAAAGCTGGAGTTAGTGGGAGCTTTACCAAACGGGGCCATAATCACGTACAAAATCATATTGTGTGTGAATCAAGTGTATCAAGTCATATACAAAATTATATGATATATCATAAATATATCAAGCCAGAAGTTGCAAAATAAAAAAGATTTACCATATTTGTCAAATCATGCATGCATCAATCAAATCTAAAAAAATATATTTTTTCACATCTCAAACTTTCCTTATTTATCCTAGTGTACAAAATAAATAAATAAATAAATATTTCACATATTACATCTGTGAGATAATACGCGATCGTAACCGTCCGAACGGGAAAAAAATATTTAGGAGTACCACGACAAAACTCATTTTAAAGTTACACATTTTTGACACATAGGGAATATAGTTCACATTCACACCACACGACTTCTCGCGCCTGAGATGAGCTTCAGCTTCTGCGCCCCCGATCACTAGTTAGTTTAGACTACACGATGCTGCCTGCACGAGATAACTGAAACGGCGGCTACGCGAGAGTAGATACGAACTGACGAAGCAGCAGCAGAGTGCGTTCCATTTCTGATTCTCGAGCGACTCCTTCCTGACTTGCTCGCTGGTCTGGTTTTATTCCGTTAAGTTGCTTCCTCCCAACAACCCACGCCATGAGCTAGGTAGGCGATCGAGAAGGCAGCAGGAAGCAGCTGGGTGACACCTGAAGAGGAAAACACATTAGTTACCTGCATACCTTTCTCAACCGGCGCCAGTACAAATACGGATGCGCAGCTGCAGGCCGGCATGCAATCCACTGCAGCAGAAGCACAACACAACACGGGACCTGCTTTCTCTGATCGAGCTTCGGAGAGAACCGTAACCTTCTTCTGCTCCATCGACCAGGCGATTGATCCCATCATCTGGCATTGCGTTCTGGGTGAACATGTGCAGCATCCATGGCCTCGCGCCGTGGACCGCAGCCGGAGCAGGAGGCTGCGGGCGGTGGCAGAGGAGGAGCAGAGGCGACACGGAGGAGGCCCAGAGGGTGGCGAGCCGTCGCCTTCATCATCGGTCCGTCGCTAGCTGCTCATCCACACATATGTCTTCAGCTTCAGTGCTTCAGCAATGGCAACGGGATTAATGTGTGAGTGTGTGCGCGTGCGCTTGGCGTGGCATGGGATGCAGGGGTCTACGCGGCAGCTTATATCGCGGGCAACGCCTTCTCCTTCTCCCTCACCAGCTACCTCATCGGCCGCTACAACATGAAGCAGAACGCCGCCACGAACGTGAACAACGTCTTCTCCGGCACGTTCAACTTCGCGCCCGTCGTCGGTGCCTTCGTCGCCGACGCGTTCTGGGGCAGGTTCAGAACCCTGCTGTTTGGCCGGAACCGTGGTCGGAGTTGCTGTAAGTTTTTGCCTTGTGATCGTGTCACATGTTTTCTCTTCAGCGACATTTGCAAACCACCAGTGGAAACACATGTAATGTTACGCATGCATGGCTGATGTGTTTGTTTGTGGCGTCATACAGGCAATGGCGGTTATCACTCTATCGGCGACTATCCATCAGCTTAAACCTCCAACGTGCAGCCCGACGGCACAGCAAGCCGGGACGTGTGTCGCCCCGTCGGCACTGCAGCGAGCCGTGCTCTACCTCGGCATGGGGCTGCACGTGGTGTCCGCCGGCGGCATGAACCCGACTAGCCTGCCCTTCGGCGCGGACCAGTTCGACGAGAGGAAAGAGCACCACAAGGGAGGGCTCACGCGCTTCTACAACTGGTACTACGCCGTCGCCATGGTAGCCACGTTCCTGGCGCTCACCGTCGTGCTGTACGTCCAGGTCAGCGTGAGCTGGGGCCTCGGCTTGGCCATCCCCACGGCGCTCATGGCCGTCGCCTTCGTGGTGTTCCTCGTAGGCACCAAGGTGTACGTCTACGTGCCGCCCGAGGGAAGCATCTTCTCGAGCGTCGCGCGGGTGTTCGTCGCGTCGTGCCGCAAGTGGAGGCTCCCGCTGCCGCACCCCGAGGACGCGCGGCGGCAGGAGGAGCTCCTGTACAACCCTCCGGCCGCCGTCGGGAACGGGCGCCGCGTGTTCAAGCTCCCCCTTACTCTGCAGCTCAGCTTTCTAAACAAGGCGGCCATCGTGACCGACGCCGCCGACGAGATACGGCGCCCCGGCGAGGCCGTGGAACCTGTGCAGCGTGCAACAGGTGGAGGAGGCCAAGTGCCTCCTGAAGATCATCCCCGTGTGGATCTCCGGCACCCTGTGGTTCACCGTGGTAACGAAGCTGATCGTCAACCATGGACCTCCACATGGGGAAGCACTTCACCATCCCGCCGGCATCGATCGTCGCCGTGCTCTACCTCTCTGTCGTGCTATTCGTGCCCGTCTACGACCTGCTCATCGTTCGCGCCGCGCGGCGGGTCACCAAGGCAGGACGCGGCATCACCTTGCTCCAGAGGCAGGGCGCCGGGCTGGTGGTCGGCGCGTTGGCGTTCGTTGTCGCGGCCGCCGTGGAGCGGAGGCGGAGGCACTCCGCACTGGCACACGTCAACGGCATGTCCCCGCTGTCCGTGTTCCTCCTGGCACCGCAGCTCGCCGTGATGGGCGTGTCGGGTGGGTTCAGCATGGTGGGACAGACGAAGTTCTACAACACGCAGTTCCCAGACCAAATGCGCACTCTCGCCAACGCGGCCTTCTACTGCGCGCAGGGCGTCAGCAGCTACCTGGCCACGCTCGTGGTCAACATCGTGAACGCGAGGACGAGGCAACACGGTGGGTCTGCGGGCTGGGTCACAGACGACATCAACGCTGGGAGGATCGACTACTTCTACTATGCCATGGTGGTGCTCACTGGGGCCAACTTCGTCTACCTCCTCGTGTGCTCGCACTTCTACCAGTACAAGGGCGAGCAGGCTGCTGAAACTCCTGCTGGACGTGAACCTGTAACGGACAGTGGTAGCTTAAGCGAGAGTGACGCCACACTCCTAAAGACATAGTACAAAGCTAAAGAGACTATATTTGTTCCATTCTGATAAATAAATTGGTTATATATCATTTTGATGCTACAACTATAACCAGTATGCACGATTATATAGGACCATAATCCTAAACAAAACAAGTAGCCAACTTGGAGGCGTGGAAACAAACCATAGAGGTAACCCTTAAGACAACCTTAATTAAATTAAGACTATTGTTATTTATCTGTTGACAGATTTTTTTTACTAAATCTGTCACATTTCTATACGTTTGATTGTGCTTTAAATTTTATGCTACAACTGACTACTAGGTCGCATTTTAAAAAATGGCAAGCCTAGTGCCCGGACGTCCGGTCCTAGGTCTGCGTCCGGACGAGGCTCCCGTTCGACGCACCCGCCACGCCCCCTCACGTAAATCAAAATAGAATTGCGTCCGCTGCGCCCGTGCAACAGGAGAGCGGTCCGGGAAGCCGATCAGCCGGCACAAGGGCCACCTCGCCATGGTTTTCGCCGACTACAACCTCTCCGTCGAGTACTAGCGCGCGCCCATGATCGTGATGGTCCATTGCTTCCCGGCGCCAAACGCGATAGGCAGCGGTGTGAAGGGAGCCGTCCGCCAAGATGTGCTCCCACGGCATGCCGACCGGTGGGCCGGAGCCGACGTGCTCGTGCTTAACACCGGCCACTGGTGGAACCAGCATAAAACCGTACGTACGCATGCATGCCATGGTTATTTTGTACCCTCTGGGTAACTAAAACACTAATTTGAGGTTGTTGTGCGTGTGTGGCTCATGAGCAGAGGGGACTATTTCATGGTTGGCGACCGCTTCAATAAAACCATGGACATCAAGGATGCTTTTCAATGGTCCCTGCAAACGGTGAAAGATTGGGAATTGAGTAGTACTCGATTTTCCAAAAGCTATTTCTTCTTCAGGAGCTATTCTCCCTCGCATTACAGGTAAGTTAAGCTAAGTGGTGTTAATTGCATTGTGATAAAGAGAACTGTGGCTTATGGTATGACAATATATATGGTCTAGCAATTGCGACTATTTGAGGATATCTCCATGGCTATAATGCTCAATCAACAATCTATATTTTAAAAAATAAACCTAGTGAACTTTAATTTTCTTCGTGAGTCATTCACCTAGGTAATTGCAGGGCTAAACTCTCCGGTCGATCGGAGCCATGGTTTTTCTGCACCTATCGGCTACTCGCCAGCCGACAAGTGCGTATGCCTGGGTACCTTCCGGCTACTGTATCTGTCGGCTACTCGCCAGCCGACAAGTGGTTAAGCCAGCCTATGAACAGTAGTACCTATAACAACTACTCTCTTTAACGCGAATCCCTAGCCTCTCAGGGCGTCGGCCACTGTTGGCCACGCTAGCTGACTTGATTTTTTTTAATTTTTAATTTTTTATTTTTATTTTATTTTTCACTTTTCTATTTTAATTTTTCCCCTTTTATTTTTCTCTTTTTCATTTTTTTCTTTGCTTTTCTTTTCCGGTTTTCTTGGCCGGAGGGCAGCACAAGGGAGGGCTCACGCGCTTCTACAACTGGTACTACGCCGTCGCCATGATAGCCACGTTCCTGGCGCTCACCGTCGTGCTGTACGTCCAGGTCAGCGTGAGCTGGGGCCTCGGCTTCGCCATCCCCACGGCGCTCGTGGCCGTCGCCTTCGTGGTGTTCCTCGTAGGCACCAAAGTGTACGTCTACGTGCCGCCCGAGGGCAGCATCTTCTCGAGCGTCGCGCGGGTGTTCGTCGCGTCGTGCCGCAAGTGGAGGCTCCCGCTGCCGCACCCCGAGGACGCGCGGCGGCAGGAGGAGCTCCTGTACAACCCTCCGGCCGCCGTCGGGAACGGACGACGCGTGTTCAAACTCCCCCTTACTCTGCAGCTCAGCTTTCTAAACAAGGCGGCCATCGTGACCGACGCCGCCGACGAGATACAGCCCAACGGTGCCCCAGCGAGGCCGTGGAACCTGTGCAGCGTGCAGCAGGTGGAGGAGGCCAAGTGCCTCCTGAAGGTCATCCCCGTGTGGATCTTCGGCACCTTGTGGTTCACCGTGGTAACGGAGCTGATAAACTACACGTTCTTCCAGGCGTCAACCATGGACCTCCACATGGGGAAGCACTTTACCATCCCGCCGGCGTCGATCGTCGCCGTGCTCTATGTCTCAGTGGCGCTATTCGTGCCCGTCTACGACCTGCTCATCGTTCGTGCCGCGCAGCGGGTCACCAAGGCAGGACGCGGCATCACCTTGCTCCAGAGGTAGGGCGCCGGGCTGGTGGTCAGCGCGCTGGCGTTCGTGGTCGCGGCCGCCGTGGAGCGGAGGCGGAGGCACTCCGCACTGGCACACGGCAACAGCATGTCCCCGCTGTCCGTGTTCCTCTTGGCACCGCAGCTCGCCGTGACGGGCGTGTCGGGTGGGTTCAGCATGGTGGGACAGACGGAGTTCTACAACACGCAGTTCCCAGACCAGATGCACACTCTCGCCAACGCGGCCTTCTACTGTGCACAGGGCGTCAGCAGCTACCTGGCCACGCTCGTGGTCAACATCGTGAACGCGAGAACGAGGCAACACGGTGGGTCTACGGGCTGGGTCACTGATGACATCAACGTCGGGAGGATCGACTACTTCTACTATGCCATGGCGGTGCTCACTGGAGCCAACTTCGTCTACCTCCTCGTGTGCTCGCACTTCTACCAGTACAAGGGCGAGCAGGCTGCTGAAACTCCTGCTGGACGTGAACCTGTAACGGACAGTGGTAGCTTAAGCGAGAGTGACGCCGCACTCCTAAAGACATAGTACAAAGCTAAAGAGACTATATTTGTTCCATTCTGATAAATAAATTGGTTATATATCATTCTGATGCTACAACTATAACCAGTATGCACGATTATATAGGACCATATTCCTAAACAAAACAAGTAGCCAACTTGGAGAACGCCCGCAGCAGCCGGCTGCACAGACGGGAGCGGATGGCGAGTTCGATGAGTACCTGGCCCTGATCAGCGGGTCCCTCTCGGAGTCCAACCGGGAAGCGATCAGGATGTTGTTCCCGGCCGGTTGTGCGATCGACGGCATCCAGCTTGTCGAGGGGGTTGAGCTTGAGGTCTAGGCAACATCTGCATCCTTGTCGTCAATTGTTGTCCATGTCGAACGAAAACATCTTCGTCTGGAATGTCCGTGGCCTCAATGGTCGCGCGCGGTGCAACGTCGTTATAGACTTGATCGTCCAGGAGAGGGTGTTGCTCGTTTGCTTGCAGGAGACTAAGCTCTCCAATGTCTGCAACCAACTTGCTTCTGAATGCCTAGGAACATCATTTGAGTATGCCTTGTTGCCTGCTGTGAATATCGCCGGTGGAGTTCTCCTCGGCTGGAGGATGGACGCCTGGTCGGCGTCGCATGTGTCTCTACGGTCACACTCGGTAACTGCCAAAATTGCCAGTCTGGCCTGGTGGATCATGGTCGTTTATGGGCCGCTGGATGCTAATGCCCAGCAGGCTTTTCTTAACGAGCTCGCGGCTCTCCACTCCTCGTTGCTGGGTCCCTGGCTCCTTTGCGGGGACTTCAACATGATCTACCACATGGCGGATAAGAACAACGACCTCCTTGATCACCGATGTATGCGCCACTTCAGGCATTTTCTTGGAGCGGTGGCGGTCGAGGAGTTACACCTCAACGGTCGCTTGTTCACATGGACTAATGAGCACCTGCACCCAACGCTCGAGCGCATTGACCGCGCTTTCGCTTCGGTGGATTGGTTAGAACTGTACCCGAACCACCAGCTGCAAGCGCTCTCGTCGGACTGCTCGGACCACGCACCCCTACTCCTGCACATGGATGTTGTTCCCTGGGACGGCCTGCTCGGCACTCCGTTCCATCGAGCGACCATTGTGAATTTCGACAAGTTGGGTCTCGCCCAGCATGATTTATCCATGCTGGACGTCGGCTTCTCCGAGTTTGAGATCTGGGCGACCATCTCGGAGTTGTCTTCAGACAAAGCTCCAGGGCCGGACGACTTCACCGGGCTATTCTACAAAGTAGCCTGGCCGATCATCAAACAAGACATCGTCAACGCTTTCAACGCGTTCTGGTCGCTGGGCGGACACAGCTTCAATTTAATCAACGATGCCGTCATGATTCTCCTCAAAAAGAAGAATGAAGCCCAAGAGATCAAAGACTACCGCCCGGTCAGCCTAATGCATAGCTTTGGAAGGATTATTGCCAAATGTCTTGCCCGTCGGCTTGCTCTGGTGCTCAATGATCTAGTGCATCCCTGTCATAGCGCGTTCATCCAGGGACGGTCCATACATGATAATTTCCGCGCCGTTCACCTGACCTTCAAGACCTTGCACTAGAAGAAGCGTAGTTGCCTCCTCCTCAACATCGATATTGCGAAAGCCTTTGACTTCGTCTGTTGGACTTTCCTTTTGGAGGTCCTACAATGGCTCGGCTTCAGTCAGCGGTGGAGGGACTGGATGTCTATCCTCCTTGGATCGGCAAGCACCAAGGTCATCCTCAACGGCAGACCGGGCAACCGCATCTGCCATGTCAGAGGCTTGCGGCAAGGTGACCCCTTGTCCCCGATGTTGTTCGTCCTAGCTATGGAGGTGCTTGGCGGACTCATCCGGTGGGCTGAGTCCTAGTCGATCTTCTCACCTCTCCGGTGCACCGCGGTGCGTTCACGGGTGTCGCTATACGTGGACGACGTCGTCATGTTCATTACGCCAGAGGTGAATGACATCGTCACCATCAAAACCATCCTACAGATCTTCGGTGATGCGTCGGGTTTGTACACAAACCTAGACAAGTGTGTCGCCAACCCGATTGCATGTTCACAGGAGCAGCTTTAGCTGGTTGAGAACATGCTGTCCTGCACAATCGAGCCTTTCCGTGCAAGTACTTGGGCATCCCTCTCTCTACTCGCAAGCTACGCCGGAGCGAGGAGCAATTCCTCATTAACGCTATCGCGGCGCGTATTCCGCTCTAGAAAGGTCATCTCATGAACACTGCAGGCAGGGTGGCGTTTGACACAGGCGATGCTCTCGGCCATCCCGGTGCACCTCTCCATTGCCGTGTACCTGTCGCCATGGGCGGTCGACTACATCAATAAGCTACGTCGATCGTTCATCTAGACTAGGTCGGTCCACAGTGAGCGCGGGCATGTGTTGCGTGGCGTGGGAGGTGGTTTGCAGGCCCAAGGAGCTCGGTGGTCTCAGCATCATTGACCTACGAAGCTTCGGTCTAGCTCTCAGACTGCACTGGGATTGGGTGTGGAAAGTTGACCCGAACAGAACTTGGATCGACCTTCCGTCGTCGTCAGACAAGGCCACGCGTGCCCTCTTTCGTGCAGCAACCATGACGGTGGTCGAAGACGGGAGCTCAATGCTGTTTTGGCAAGACTACTGGATTCATCGTTGTCTAGCAAGACTCCTAGATTCATGGGTGCTGTGTTGACCAAATTGCGCCTGCGGTGTTCACCTCAGTCCCCCGGGAGAAGGCGAGGATACGGTTTGTGGCGTCGGGTCTGGCTAATCACGCCTAGGTGTCCGACATAACTGGGGCACAAACTGTTCAGGTCTTCCTCCAGTACTGGACCTCTGGGAGCGGGTTCGCGGTGTCCAGCTCATGCCGGTGGTTCCGGACTCTGTCATCTAACGATGGTCCGCTGACCATAAGTACTCCGCGGCGTTGGTGTATGGTGCGATGTTCATCGGATCGACCTCGCCATTCGGTGCTATGTTGATTTGGGAGACGCGCGCACCGCCCAAGGTCAGGTTCTTCTTCTGGTTGGCTCTGCATCGTCATTGCTGGACCGCGAATTGGCGGATGCGACATGGGCTGCAGGACAATGACACTTGCATCATGTGTCTTCAAGCCTCCGAGACTCTGGATCATATCTTGCTGGGTTGTGTCCTCGAGTTGTCAGGTTTGGGACATGCTCCTATCCCAGATTGGGCTCACAACCATGGTCGCTCATGGTGACGTTGACCCCTTCCTCTGGTGGACCTAGGCTAGGCATAGGGTGCCCCAAGGCAGCAAGAAGGGCTTTGATTCGCTCGTCATGCTAACCTGTTGGGTGCTTTGGAAGGAACGCAACGCAACTCACGGACTTTCAGGAATGAAGCCAAGGATGCTTAGCGAGCTGTGTTTGGAGATCCTACAGGAGGCCGCCATGTGGTTGCGGGCTGGGTATTCGACCCTATCGTCGCTCAGTTCATTCATGTAATTAGTCTCTTGTGTGATCACTGCTGGCTTCCTCTGGTTTTTCGTTTGCCGCTCTGTTTTATGTTTGTGTAGCTCGTCGGGGCAACCTTTGATTACCTTCGGTCGACGCTAGAGTTGTTTGTTGGGATGTTCTCTTTTTCCTCTTAATGAAATATGTGCTACAGTGCACGTTCGCGAAAACTTGGAGGCGAAGGAAACAAACCATAGCGGTAACCCTTAAAACATCCTTAATTAAATTAAGACTATTGTTATTTATCTGTTGACAGATTTTTTTGTACTAAATCTGTCTGATTTCTATACGTTTGATTGTACTTTAAAATTTATGCTACAACTGTCTACTAGGTTGCATTTTAAAAAATGGCAAGCCTAGCGCCGGACGTCTGGTCCTAGGTCTGCGTCCGGACGAGGCTCCCTTTCGATGCACCACGCCGCCTCTCACGTAAATCGAAATAGAATTGTGTCCGCTGCGCCCATGCAACAGGAGAGCGCGCCCGCCGCGCCCACATCACCACGTGTCTGTGCCCCTACTCCCAACCATGACGTAGCGCAGCCCCCTCCGCCCAGCGCCCATCCCGCTCTGGAGGTAGCGTCCGTCCGTACGGAGCTCCCTCGCTTGTGCCTGACGCACGTAGCTCCCTCGTCCCGACGCCCATCGCGTGCATCGTCCATCCCTCGTTCGTATGGATGCCCTGTCGTCTCCGGGAGAGACTATGCAGCAGAAGGTGGGAGGAGGAGAGATGCAATACCCGATCTACTTTCCTAAAACAATTGAAACATACAATTGCAACATAGAAGGAGAGACAGAGCGAGCGCGCCTGGCGCGGGGAGTGCTATGGCTGCCGAATCTGAGGGCATTGGGGGCTCCGGTGGGGGAGGACGCCAGTGTGGGGGGAGGGGCGCCACCGGGGTGGGAAGGAGGATGCCGCGGTGGGGGAAGGAGACGCCGGGGGTCGAGGAACATAGGGGAGGGGAAGGCTGCGCCGGTCGATTCTGGCCGTCGGGGGTCGGTGGCAACAGCAGCGGTGGCTGCTCCGGAGCCTAGCCATTGCCGGTGGTGGCGACGAGGACCGCCGCGACGGTCGACGACGACGGCCCGCATGCTGCTGCGGTGCAGCCACCGCTTCCACATCGAGTGTCGGGGTGGGGGAAGGGGCCGCGGGGTTGGGGGAGAAGGCCACCGGGGTGGGGAGGAGGACACCGGGGATGGGGGAGTGCGCCGCTGCCGGCCAGGGAAGCGGCCATGGCTGCGCATCGGTGTAGCGCGCGAGGCGCGAGCCACGGAAGGAAGGAGGAAGCGAGGGACTGAGTGCGTGGGTGTGTGAGTGAGCAAGTGAGACGAGTTGGGTAGCGGTGGCCGTAAATTGATGTTGGGCCGATCGGGGCATAGGCCTAGAACGACGGGTCTAGCATGGATACGCCCGGACGGACGCCCTCACAGAAGCATTATCGTTTAAAAAATCTAACAAATTTAACTACATAAAAATACGTGGACACATAACTAGACACTCCCTTCAATTAATTTCAAACCTTGTCGTCTTTGTTAAAAGTTAAAACTGGTGCTGATCATGGCCTTTTTAGGTAGCGATGGTTTCTCTTTGATGCAGACACTTGTACTCTTGGCAATTGGCATTAACACCAGTGGCTCGTTCACTTGTTGGTGCTGTCCTCACCACACTGCCCTCCGAATAACCAGCAACCAATGTTAGCCAACAGTGACGCTCGCGTCTTGACCCATGCATGCGAGACACGTACTCGTCCCCTCCGTCTTCCTCTTCGTCGTCGTGCTCTGTAACGTCGTCCTACCCCCGCCTCGGTGGCCAAGGTCGACGTCGTTCTTCTAGTCGTCTTGGCTTCCTCCGGTCAACAGAAGAGAGCACGGCAACAGCGCCGACGGCCACCCGTGCGACTATTCAGACGGATGATGGGTGAGGGACGACGATGCTGCCGACGTGACGACCTACACGGAGGACTGCCCGTTCCTGGACCCCGGCTCCGGTGCACGCGGAACGGCCGCAGGGACTCGTCCTTCCGGCACTGGCGCTGGCGACCTCGCCGCTGCGACCTCCCTAAGTAGGTAGCCCCCGCCATGTCACGACATCTTCATCTTCTTCCTGGATGTCCTAATAATCGTGACCTGATATCAATGGTTTAAGTTGTTTATTAGGTTCAACGCGACGGACATGCTGGAGCGGAGCCGGAACGGCAGGATCGTCTTCGCCGGGGACTCGATCGGCCGGAACCAGTGGGAGTCCATGGTGTGCATGGTCGCGGCCGCCGTGCCGCCCACGGCCAGCGGGTCGTCGTCCAGAGTGTACGAGCGGTCCGGGAAGCCGATCAGCCGGCACACGGGCTACCTCGCCATGGTTTTCGCCGACTACAACCTCTCCGTCGAGTACTACCGCGCGCCCATGATCGTGATGGTCCATTGCTTCCCGGCGCCAAACACGACAGGCAGCGGTGTGAAGGGAGCCGTCCGCCTGGACGTGCTCCCACGGCATGCTGACCGGTGGGCCGGAGCCGACGTGCTCGTGCTTAACACCGGCCACTGGTGGAACCAGCATAAAACCGTACGTATGCATGCATGCCATGGTTATTTTGTACCCTCTGGGTAACTAAAACACTAATTTGAGGTTGTTGTGCGTGTGTGGCTCATGAGCAGAGGAAACTATTTCATGGTTGGCGAGTGGCGACCACTTGAATAAAACCAAAAGGTGAAAGATTGGGAATAATTGAGTAGTACTCGATTTTCCAAAAGCTATTTCTTCTTCAGGAGCTATTCTCCCTCGCATTATAGGTAAGTTAAGCTAAGTGGTGTTAATTGCATTGTGATAAAGAGAACTGTGGCTTATGGTATGACAATATATATGGTCTAGCAATTGCGACTATTTGAGGATATCTCCATGGCTATAATGCTCAACCAACAATCTATATTTTAAAAAATAAACCTAGTGAACTTTAATTTTCTTCATGAGTTATTCACCTAGGTAATTGCAGGGCTAAACTTTCTAGTCGATCGTAACCATGGTTTTTCTGCACCTGAAAATGGCAGCAATGGCACCTAAGACACTGGTGGTTCGTGCGCCAGCTAGCGAGAACCACTACTGACCACTAACGTCCACTCCGATGAAGAGTACTCATGGATGAACGCGATGATCGCTAAGATGACGGATGGCATCAAGAGCCACGGAAGGAAGGCAACGTTTTTGAACATCACTCACATGACGGAGCTTAGACGAGATGACCACCCGTCAGGGCACAGGGAGCCCGGAACGCCGGTGGACGCGCTGGAGGATTGCAGCCACCGGTGCCTCCCCGGCGTGCCGGACGTTTGGAATCAGGTCCTCTACGCACACCTCTTGTCCGCAGGGTATGGCACGCATAGGAATGAGAGATAACTAGTCGTATTGGTATGTGTATGTCGACTTGCGTGGTTTGCTCGTAGAAATTAAAGCTAACTGAAATAGGTTTATTTGTGCTACTACAGTTATATTGATTAGTTTTACACTTTCACTATCAGTTCTGTGCTGGCACAACCCATGAACATTTGAAAGGGCTCTTAAGTCTTAAGGGAAGAGAATAATCAAACAATTACATAAGAGTCTTAACCTACAATGGAGAAATGTTAACCTTACGTGCTGATCTACATATATATCACTCTTCTTAAAACCACTACTTTTCAAACTACAAAATCTCCTAGCGCCGGCTGCTTGTGTGAGCAGCAACGCTTGTGCCAAGCGCCTATTCAAATGTACATGGTGGCAAAAAAATTGCAGAATCTGCAGCGACATTATACTGGTCCTAAGACAACAATATGAATTTTCTTACTTTCTAAGAAATAAAAGTACATTATTTTCAAGAAGCACCAAGCGCTCACGCAATTCAAATGAAGAGACACGTCTCGTAAAATTTCTTGTAGTCCATAAGCATATAATCCAAACTTTGTAAATGGAAAACAATATACAATTTCTACACTCGGCCGACTGCATTAGTTAGCCCCACAGTCACAAGTCATGAGTCCCGTGTTTTTGCACGAAGCAGAAGCTTGTGCATTTCCTACAAATCAAACCCAGAACCCTTCCCCCTCACGCAATCCTTTTGTTACCATCCTAGTATAGAGTTACCAATAGGATAATCTTTCCTTTTAAACCTTGTCAGAAACATTTTCCATAGGCGGTTCATGTAAGGATCCACACGTGGAAATGATATTTTTCATATGTTTCTTGTGTGAGTCCCCTTGTGAAAATATCTGAAAAACATTAGTATTTTTATAATTGTGTTGATTGATATGGTTCATTTTTAAATTTAACAGTCAGTGAGCGAGCCTTTTAATTAACCATTGGCCCCACTAAATCCTAAGCCACCTGAACATTTACAATAAGTTGATCCAGTTGGATCCGCTCTTTTCTCTCTCATACAGTTGTTGCTTCCGGCTATTTATTCAGTCGTCAATCAGCATTGATCTGGGTTAGTTGGGATAATTTGTTATGTTAGCTCAGCACTAACTTTTATATGGTAGGAAACTATCGGAATACACCTCATCATCATATTTTTTCCCACCATCTCTCATGAAAGCCCATCCTTGACATTATTTTTTCTACAATTCATGGTAAACCTTGTCCATATTTTGCGGTCTATTAGATGATACCTTGCAAGCAATTTTGTACATCACGTTGCATAGACCAATATGGCGTAAATATTTTTTTTATGCTCTTTTGAAATTAGAATGCCCACTATTTCATTCCACTTCTCTCAGACATTATGCCATTACTCATAAAGATTTTCACTTCTCTAATCACATTCAACCCAATTGTATCCAAGTATTGCCTGGTAGAAAAGTACTAGCATCCCATCAGCTATTCAGCTGGAGCTTTGGTATTGTAGAATAGAAAATACAAATATTGTAAAATATCAAGATACCTGAGAAATCGAGATCGAGGGTCAAAAGAACCTGAGAGACTAAAGTATAGATTATCCATGCATGAAGCTGTTGGTGAAACTGTTTTGCCAAACAATTTTTTCAAAATAGCTCTGCTTCACTAAAAAAGTTGCTCATGAGTTGTTTTCCAAAAAAACAGGAAGTTGGTAAGGAGACCCCACAGCAGGCAAGTGAGAAATGGTGTGCCGTGCCGGTGTTCTTCCGTCCCTATGCAAAAAGCAAAAGGGCTTGAAGATATACATGACACAAGTGTGTGACGAAACCATGTCACATTTTCGTTCAATGGCTTGAAAAAGAGACTGAAACGGACACTGGATGGATCCCCAGATCTCATATGCTAGTCGATGACAGCTAATTGACAGTCCACCACCCCCGCTTATCCCCGCAACATCCTCGTTGGCCTCCGCAACATCAAGGGCCCACCCCGGTATAAAAGCGGATCCATTCCGTTAGTTTCCCACGCCCACAAAAATATCGAAACGAGGACGAAAAATAGTAAGAATTACGGAAAAGCCCCCTCTCCAGTGTGTCTCTCTCTTCCGTTTCTCTCCTCCGGCCTTCGTCTTCCTGCTTGCCCCCGTCCGCCGATTCCCTTCCCCACACAAACCCTAGAGCAAGGCTGAATGGCCCTCGCCACGAGCTCGCGAGAGAGTCTGCACCGCCGCCGGTGACTGCTGATCAGCCCTCCCCCGCCGCGCCCGGCGGCGCCCGGGGCCCTGTCACGGAGGAGGCGACGATATGGGGTCGAGGCAGCACAATGCGCAGTTCCACAAATCCAAGACGCTCGACAACAAATACGTGAGGATTCTCGCGCCTTCCACCTCAGATCCGGGCGGAATTTGTGTTTTGTTGCTGCGAATTTTGGGGTTATCTTACTCTCACTCACTGCGCCTGCGCCCGCGCGTGTGCAGATGCTTGGAGATGAGATAGGGAAGGGGGCGTACGGCCGCGTATACAAGGGGCTTGACCTGGAGAATGGCGATTTCGTGGCCATCAAACAGGTCTCGCTGGAGAACATTCCGCAGGAGGATCTCAACATTATAATGGTGAGTTTTTTTTTAAAAAAAAACTTACCTTATTATCATGCACAGGAACTGACGAATTGCGTGAAATGTGGTTTCGGGGGAGCTGTGGAGCTAACACACAGTGGCTGCAGTGCAGCTATAATATGTAGTTTGAGCTATGCAGCTCGCCCTTTTGTAGCGTACTTTTTGCTGTGAGATTACATCCAAGGGCTAGTTTCTGCTAGCTTACTCATGTGAGTCGTAAGCAAGCTCCCTGTTTGGTAGGTTCAAACTTGGAATTATAGCAGAAGTCAAGGACACGCGTTACTTGTGTTTTGGCATGTTAATTGGTCATGTAGCAAGTTGGTTATACGTTTGCTGATTGCGATCATATGGAACTTTTGAGCTGTTAATTGTTTTATGTGTGGAAGATATGATACATATGGGTCCGTTTAGAAGACTGAATCGGTTCCGATTCTAGCAAGAAACGGTAGAATCCGGGCCAAACACAGAAACGTTTCACGTTTGCTTCTTTGGTACCTGAAACGCCAGAAGGGTGGTTTCGCATGGATTCTACTTTTGCTACTGTGTACTAATAATTATAGTTTTTTTAATTATAATCCTTTTCTAGTGCAACAAATTAAAATAGGTTGTATTGAAGTTGTTCTTCACCCACAAAAAGTTTAGAATTTTTTTGAAGCATAATTCATTTATATGATTTTTTTATAAAAAATACTCTTTTAGGAATCTGAATCTAGGCTACCATCCAAACAGTTTCATAAAGTGATTCTGATTCTTCACCCGAAACATTTCTGGAGAGAATCTGGATCCGAAACGTTTCTACGAGAATCTGGATCCATACCAAAAGCACCCATAGTTCCACAAAACATTTGTAGTATGATATTCTATTGGGATCTCATAAAAACATGACTCATGACATAAAGGAGTGCTACTTTAGGTCCCTACTTCATTTTCATGATACAATTGGCTTGATTATCACAGCAATGTATTATTTCCAAATTTACTACCTATAGACAAGTTTTGTTTTGTCACATTGTTCACGAGAAAAAGATTTTCTGCAGTTTCTACACCATGACTCTGCAGCCTTATATGTCTCTGCAAGCAAACAATGACATTTTGAACCTCTACAACTTTCCTGCAGTTGATGGATTTGTCTTTTGGCCACATAACTACATATAAGTGGATTGGCAGCAAATAAAAGCAATGTGTAGGCTGACACGTGGTTCATCTAAATCTAATCTATTGTTGTATAGGTATCGTGTAAATTGTTAATATCTAAAATAGAACTTTATGTGTTGGTGTTAATTTTGTGAATTGTTTGGTTCTCTTTCATCATTTTGATATTGGTTTCATGTATCACCTAACGCTTGAAGTTGATCTTGAAATCTATGTGTATGGCTTGTGTAAATGTTGTCCTTTGGAGCATATCTGATGCATCTGTCCTGAGCTTGTGAAATAACTACTTTAGTTGTTTGTTTATTTACCATACGGACATACTGTTGGACTTACTTGACCACATATGTCATCAAGGGCCATAGGGTGTATTTTAGAACACTGGGTTTAAGGAAGTAACAATACATTTTTTTGCATTCTTCTTGTATAACCCATCCCTATCAGTTTCTTATATAGCTCTTGTTGTTAAAACATTTCCCCCTCTTTTTGGTGAATATTACTGTTTTCTGCAAAGCCTAGGGTTCTAATTAATTGTCTTTGTGCATTTGTGCATGTTTAACGATTCTGCACAATGCTCTTCATGGTTTGCTGGTATGGTGTATGCAGCAAGAGATCGACCTTTTGAAAGTAAGTTTTGTTGTTTTTATGTTATACAGCTATAATCACATCTCTATTATTTTTCCTGTTAACTTGCACAAATCGATTTCTGATATATTCCTTTTCATCAGAATTTTTAGATCTTTTGCATGCTTTACTGGTGTGTAAGGTAGGAGTTGCTGTAGCTTATGAAAATTCATAAAGATCACACTAAATTCTTGCTTTGGTCTAATATATATACTGTTATACACTTTGAGGTGCTTATATTTCATTCTTTGATCATTTAGTGCATCATACCTAGTCTCTCCCTAAACATGTATAATGTAAGAGGTAATAGAATCTGGAAATAGTAACTAGTGTGGTGGGAAAGCTAAAACTATTTATTCTTGCAGTTGGTTTTAGTAGCTTCTATTATTTCTGAAATTGAAAGCAGGACCTTGATTGTTTTATGCACTTATGCGGGGCTCCAAATCTTTTGTTTTTTTGTGCAGAATCTTAATCACAAAAATATTGTCAAGTATCTGGGATCACTGAAGACAAAGAGCCACCTCCATATTATTTTAGAGTAAGCATTGAAAATGTCTTCATAGTTGATACGAGGTAGAGGTATACAATATACATCTAGTGAATTTCGACATGGAAATTCTAATACCATAGGGATAACTGCAGGTATGTGGAGAATGGCTCACTTGCCAATATTATCAAGCCAAACAAATTTGGACCTTTTCCTGAATCTTTGGTGGCTGTATACATTGCCCAGGTGCTTGTGGTGGTTATTGCAATACTAGTACTTTTCTCTTTTCTCCTTAATTTCATCTGATTTTAGTTTTCATGTGACCAGGTGTTGGAAGGTCTTGTTTATCTGCATGAACAAGGTGTCATTCATAGAGATATCAAGGGCGCAAATATACTGACTACCAAAGAGGTTACTGGCTGTATATTATTTGCCCCCCCTTTTTTTTTCTTTGTTTCAATAATTGAATATGGTAAAGAAAATCTTGTAACACCTTAGATCTGAATGTTATTAAAAAAAGGTGCAAGGACAAGTATCTTGGAACTTGGAAGCAACCTTCTAATACCATAATTGGAAGCATAAAACCATGAAAACATGTAGTGACATGACTGATGCAACGAAAAAGAAAGAAATAAAGGGGCATCCTAGAGATAAAATCATGGACAAATAGTGGGCTAGCAGAGATTTTGGGAGCATGAATTGTTAATATGAAGTGTGTATCTCCCCTTAATTCTAAACTTGCAATAGAAACATAGCAGTAGCATTTTCTCTATATATATCTTCATTTGTGTACCCTGCTTGTTTAGGGCCTTGTCAAACTTGCTGATTTTGGAGTTGCCACTAAATTGACTGAAGCTGACATCAACACTCATTCTGTGGTCGGCACTCCATACTGGATGGCGCCTGAGGTTGGCTATTGATTAACCATTTGTTAAATACAATGTTTTTACTGAATTATTGTCCTCTATCTATGCCCTTTACCATACTGGAGTAGTTTATTATCTTATTTTTGTGTGTCTTACTATTAAATGAGTTGAAGGTTGCCTGGTTCCATTGTTCTGTGGATGTAAAATCTGTAGAATGAACAATGACTAAGGCAACCATTAATTTAACATTAATTCATCAAGTTGAACACCCAATTCATAGAAAATATAGCAATGTCTGCTTATGTGGGGGACAAAATGATTAGAACTTGGGAAGATGATCATGAGGCCAGTAGAACTTATTTACACCAATGTGTTACATTGTTCTGGAATTCCTATATGTATTTTCAATATTTGGTGATCATAGTTTTGCAAATACATGCCAGTGGTACCACAAAAGTATAGATTTTTAAAGGATGTGTAGCCCAAGGACTAACATATCTAGTCTAGGCTGAAGAGTTTTACTTACATATTCAACTAGGACAACTGGACTGAGTTAATTTGCAAATTCATATCACTGGCTGTGTTTCTTATTCCGATAGATATATGGGATGATATTAATTGCTATGATGGCTACTATGGCCTTTCATCTTTCACCATAAAAAAATTATATAATTGCATTTTATTACAGTCTAGGATTTGAGTTTCATTCATCATCTTATCAACACATGACTACATTAGTTTTTTAATACAGTCTAGGATTTGAGTTTCATTCATCATCTTATCGACACATGACTACATTAGGTCATCGAAATGTCCGGTGTTTGCGCTGCTTCTGATATCTGGAGTGTGGGTTGCACCGTAATTGAGTTGCTGACATGTGCCCCGCCATATTATGATCTCCAACCTATGCCTGCACTGTTCCGTATTGTTCAGGTTGGTTGCATACAGCTGTTTCGATCTATGTTCATCTTTGCAAGTTACTCTTTATTCTGCTATGTGAGTATACTATTTATTTTGTCATAGGATGTGCATCCACCAATACCAGAAGGACTGTCGCCTGAGATTACCGATTTTCTCCGGCAATGTTTCCAAAAGGTTCTCTATCGTAATGTTATTTGAGGACTTCAATTTGTATTTCTTTAGTTACATGGTCTGACTTTTAAAAAAAAAAAACTTTAGGACGCGATGCAAAGGCCTGATGCAAAGGCATTATTGATGCATCCATGGTTGCAAAACTCAAGACGAGCTTTGCCTGCTTCCCTTCGGCAACCTACTCCATTGAGGTATAAATGAGAGTTTCCCGTGATAGTGAATAGTTTGATGAACAGATATACATTCTAGAAAAGTACAGACATCATTGACTTTTGCTTCATAAATATATCACTAGATTGGATGTTCATTGATTATTTGAATCTTCTTTCCATTGAGAAGACTTAAATTCTCCTCCTGACGGTACAATCAGGAACATCGACGGGGATGATGAAGGCTCAAGAGGTGATAATAGCTCGGGTTTTTGCGACACACCAGGAGATACTCAAACAACTATTGCTTCTAATGTTGACCAGGTAACACTATCAGGTTTTTTACGCATCATGTTTAGCTCAGGGATTGATCCTCCCAAATCTTCTGCAGTGTACCCACTTTATTCTTAGCCTCTGAGGGTTGCCAATTAAAATTTACTTTATTTATGCTGCTCTAGGAGAATGGGAAAATAGAACCAATTATGGACTCTGCTGCACAAAATAAATTTGAAGGGCTTCATGATGGAAATTTAAAACTTGCTGAGGGCAGTAGTTCAAACAATGTGGCGCTTATGAAAGATAATGTGGTCCTTAATAAAGATCCGACACTAGTTTTACATGAGAAGTTACTGGTGGAATCTTCATCTGGAGGTGCTGACTTGAATGGCAAAGTAATGGCACATGAACTATTGCAAGGTGGTCCTCCAAGTAAGGTAGAGCTGGAGAATAAAGAAAGTTCAAGTGTTGAGGATGGTGATGTGTTCTCCTTTCAGGCTGGAAGACAGAATATTGACTTCCAAAAGGTGAGTTTTTACTAAGAAATCTTCTGCTAGTTCCTTAATGAACTGTAAGGAGTCACTATGATGCACATGTTTACAACAACATCTCCATAAGAGTAGCTAAGTTTTTATACATTGGCTCGCCAAGCCTAACACAACCCTCCTCCTTTATCAGGGCTTGGGACCTGCTATGCTGGGACACTTAGGCACCCCACCATAGGCGGAGTTTATGATGCACATGTTTGAATTTTATATTTTTATATGCACTCTACATATGCTTTCTTAAACAACCACTTGTTGTACGAGTGGAAGTTGGAAAAGCTGAAATAAAATGTAGGAGGAAATATACTTGAACTGCCTTATGTGTGTGAAGGAACAGAATGGGATTATGCACGGTCCATTCCATTTGAGTTAGGATACAATCGACACCCTTTGATCGAATGATGCAGCCACTAGGCTGCCACTTTGGTAAATAATTTTCAAATTTAGCTGTTTACATGCAACTATGAAACCATCATAAAGCACATCTCGGACCTCTCATTCGTGAATCAATCTTGTTGGTTACTTGTCAATTGGTCTATTATACTTTCACTAGGTGAATAGTTGGCAACGGTTACTCATTATCAAGGTCTTGAATTTATTTTATTTTCATTGGAAGCTCTTTAAATTGCCCTTAAATATATCCTGTCTTGACAGGTGGTTGAACCTTCAGTTGTTGAGGTGCCGAAACAGCTTAGTAGATTTAGTGACAAACCTGAAGATGCCTCTTTGGAAGACTTATTTCCACCAATCGATAAACGGGGAGATAATGGGGCTGAACCTTCGACATCAACTACTGTCCAAGAACTTCAATATAATGGTGTACACAATGAATTTGCGAAGGGGCTCAATGCCAGGGTGGAGAAGCAAAAAGAAAATGATAGTGAGTCCATGAATGGTGGAAAACTAATTGAATTTGCCATGCAACTAGAAAATATTGATGCGTCGGTACTGTACAACACTACTGCTGCTCTATCTATGTACCTTTGGAATTTAAAATAGATGAATTTCTGTTTATTCTAGCTCTGATTTCGATGGTATTGACCAATTTTATAGGGTTTTGGTGAACATATTCCTGGAGAGAGTCTTTTCCCTCTGCAGGTGTGCCATGTCTAACTTCTTTTACCATGATGCATTCTACAACTTCGGTCTGTGCTTGCGCAAATTTATGTCGATACTTTGGCATATGTAATGATGTTCACTAGGCTGTAAGGTGCCTTCAGGGCTCAAGGCGTCACTGACGCCTTGCCAAAAGCAGTGAGAGGGAAGGAAGGAACCAGCGGGAAGGCAACCACTGGTTGCAGTGCTTGTCGATATGGGAGGGGTTGGAGGCAGCTTGCAGGCTGCTGGAACCATGGAAAGAGCTTGCTTTTGGGGCAGTGATGCTTGTTAGTGCTCCTCTCGCTCTGTTCAGAATACCACTGGTAGTGTGCCCTTACGTAGCTGCTGCTGGCGCTTAATCGTGGTGGATGCAATGTGTTAGGTGTATAACAAGGCATGGACTATCTCTTTGAGAGGAGGATGGGCTGGAGTACCTGGAAAGGGTGACGAGCTGGATAGTCTAGGAAGGCAGTCTCTCATCTTTTCTTGTGTTATTTTCCTTTTCTCTTGAAATGCTAATATGTGTATGGCGTCGTGTCACCTTAGCACCTTAAGTGCCTTGGCAATATGGGGGGGGTTAGTTTGCCATGCCTCGCCTTAAAACCTAAGAATGATGCTTTGGCAATGTTCTTGGCAAACCTTTACAATTCTATAAATATACATCTTCTATATATGGCTCTGTCAGTTATTTAATTCTGATAATATGATTCTTGCAATTCTTGTGCAAAAGAATGCCCCTGTTGGTTGATTACATGACAAGTTTCTATTTGAAATATATGATACTTGCATTTGAAATGGACAGTATGTTGGATGTCTTATTTGCTGATAAACTTAACTGTTTACTGTCCTAAAAGAGATCACCCCAACAATTAATTATTCCTACTCAGTACAGTGCATTTTTGTTTGACATTTAGACTATGTCCTGCTAACCATACATTGCTTTCGTACAGTTCTAATTGCTAGGATTTGATCTTGAAATACCTTTTGTTCTCTATTTTTGTAGTCTGTGGAATACAGCAAAATAGTAGCACAACTGAAACCAGGGGAAAGTGAAGATGTAATACTGTTGGCATGCCAAAAGCTTCTATCAATCTTCAGTCACCGGCCTGAGCAAAAACAGATTTATATGACACAGAATGGTTTCCTCCCGCTGATGGAACTCCTTGAAATTCCAAAAAATCGTGTATGATGTTTCACTGTGGTTTTTACAAACATTTTTTTCCTGGCTCTTTACACCGAATAGTTGTTTGTTTTGTTTTTTTATTTTTTTAATTATTTTTGCAGATTTTATACTCAGTTCTGCAGCTTATCAACAACATTGTAAAAGATAGTACAGGCTTCCTGGAAAATGCTTGCCTTGTTGGCCTTGTAAGACTAATGTTCCAGAGCAATTCATGACCTTCATGCTCTGTTGACTTTGTGGGATGGATAGTTGATATTTAAAAGTTATCTGCAGATTCCAGTGGTGATGAATTTTGCAGAGCCAAACCGCCCAAAGGATGTTCGGGTGCAAGCATCCTTGTTTCTTCAGCAGCTTTGTCAAGCCAGGTCTTTTTCTTTCTCCGACATAGTTTATAGTTTCTGACAAAGGGACAAATGCTTTGGTGTACTAATTTCCAGTTTCCATCTCCAGCACCTTGACATTGCAAATGTTCATTGCATGCCAAGGAATCCCTGTTTTGGTAAGCTTTATGGAGCCTGACTATGCAAAATACAGGCAAGTCTGTCTGCTGGTTTAATTATTCCTCCATATCTTTCTTCTGTATTAATTTGTTTTAAATGCTTGGATCTAACTAATATACTGGAAAATATTTTAAATTAGCAGGGATATGGTTCATCTTGCAATTGACGGCATTTGGCAGGTCTTCAAGCTCCAGCATTCAACTCCAAGAAATGACTTCTGCCGTATAGCCGCAAAAAATGGGATGCTTCCTAGGCTGGTGAATACACTACACAGCCTGAACGAAGCAACAAGATTTGCCTCAGTCTCAGGGTCAGGTGCTTCAGTAACACAGAATGGCTCAACCCCCCGACGAAGATCTGGCCAATTAGACCCTTCAGTTCTTGAAAGTTGCAAGGCGCGGCTGGATCATCATCATTCATCTGGTTCTCTGCAATCTCTACAAGCAGATGCAGATAAGCACCATATATTAATGGACTCATCATCTCCTAGGTTCAGCGATAAAACCGGCAGTAACTTGGAGAGGAATGAGAATGACTTGGTTATTCGGCCACCGAGGCTTAGTGTTTCTGCTGGAAGGACATCTACTGACAGATCACCAAAGCACGTAGAACTAGTTTCAAATGGTCATAATAGCGGTCAAAATGACCATGTCCGACCTCTACTGAGTTTATTGGAGAAAGAACCGCCTTCTCGACATGTATCTGGACAACTTGATTACGTTCGCCACATATCTGGATTGGAAAGGCATGAAACCATTTTGCCACTATTACATACATCGACAGAGAGGAAAACAAATGGTGAACTTGACTTAATGATGGATTTTGCTGGTACATTGTTCTGTGCCCATTCTTTCAGATGTTTAGTCCTTAGCATATTGGTGCATCCTCCCATTGTGCATTCTGCTTTTCATCTAAGTAGTTTGCTTTATGTTCCACTTTTCTCTCTTGAGTTTATATACTCTTTATCAAATGCTAACTTTTTCGGTTTTCGTTACACATGGACAAAAAAACCTAAAAATAGAATATTTCTATTCTAACCTTTCTTTACTCTTTTTAAGTTTATATTGCCATCACCAGTGCTTCATCTCGTTCATTCGAAGATGTGCAGCTCTCGTGCATAGTTACTAAGTTTCATTTGTGTAAATGACATAATGTCGTACTTTATTGTAACACTCTAGCAGTCATTTGTGAACTGTAGAAACGATTTGGTGTACAGAAAGAATCATCCACTCTATCTATTGGCAAAAGATGTGTAGCATGTATGTATTTATGTGCTAATAGATTGGTTTTTGAATTTAATGCAGAGGTCTCTAGACATGGAAGGGAGAATGCCCATCTGGACTCTAGTATAAAAGCTTCAAATAGAGTTCATAGCATGAAATATGCACCTTCGGCAAGTGCCTCTAATGAAGGGGCATCAACTTCTGGAGCTGCATCGCAAACAGCATCTGGTGTGTTATCTGGATCAGGGGTGCTCAATTTAAGACCAGGGAGTACAACATCATCAGGCCCATTAGCTCAGATGTTCTCTTCCATGAGCGCAGATGTGGCACGTGAATATCTTGAGAAAGTAGCAGATCTTCTTTTGGAGTTTGCACAGGCAGACACCGTGGTAAAATCTCTGATGGCCAGCCAAAGCCTTCTTACAAGGCTTTTCCAGATGTTTAGCAAGATAGAACCTCCTATTCTCCTTAAGGTAAAAGTCTAAAACATTTAGTTTGTTCTGCTATGTACTTGTTCATGTGACTCAATTTCTTTGTGTTTGTGTTTGTTTGGTTATGGAACTATTTGTTCTTTTTGTGCAGATTCTTAGGTGCATTAATCATTTGTCGGGTGATCCTAATTGTCTCGAGACACTTCAACGCACAGATGCAATCAAACATCTGATACCGATTCTCGAGCTTCGTGATGGACCTCTGGTTTATCAAATACATAGTGAGGTGCGCAGTGTTTTTCTTAAAGACTTGCAACCAAGCATGATTACTAAGGAAAGAAATCCCACTAAGTAGCTTTTGAGGACATCATTTTCCTTTTTATATGGTGAAACATTCGGAGTCAATAGTTTTGAAAATTAAGTTATGGCCCATGTTCAATATCTGCTGGAGTTGGCCTACTACATACTCTCTTCGTTTCAAATTATAAGACATTTTGGCTTTTCTAGCAATGTATCTAGACTTGGTGTATATGTATATCGAAGTGCATAGCAAAATCAATGTATCTAGAAAAGCCAAAACATCTTATAATTTGGAATCTAGGGAGTATTATTCAGAGGGTGCTGCGGGAGTGGGAGTGGGACTATGCCTAAACGAGTGAAGTAACAATACTATACTTCATTTGATGCCTTGTTATAGCAGTATGCAATACATATCACATACTCATAGTTGGACTAGCAAATCATCTTACTTATTGCTTAGAGTGAGAAAACTGTAGACAGCAGAACAGCATTGTGTACAAGATGACATGTGCTTGTAGCTGTGCTCCTTTTTTTTTGTACCTTTTTAGTTGAAATCTGATGCTATTAAATGCCAACTAATTTCTCAGCAGATAATTTGCCTTCTGTTGCGCTATTTTCTGAGCACATAATTGACTGCCTCTGCCTTTCTGTCTCCAGGTCCTCAATGCTTTGTTCAACCTTTGCAAGATTAATAAAAGAAGACAGGAACAAGCAGCTGAAAATGGAATCATCCCTCACTTGATGAATTTTGTCATGTCAGACTCACCTCTGAGGCAATATGCCCTGCCTTTGCTGTGTGATATGGCTCATGCTTCTCGCAACTCTAGAGAGCAGTTGAGGGTTCATGGAGGATTAGATGTGTACTTAAATCTGTTGGAGGATGATGCATGGGCATGCACGGCATTAGATTCTATTGCTGTTTGTTTGGCTCACGATAATGATAACAGAAAAGTAGAACAGGCACTGTTGAAAAAAGAGGCAATTCAGAAATTAGTGAAGTTCTTCCAAGACTGCCCAGAGCAGTATTTTGTCCATACATTGGACGCTTTCTTGAAGATAATCACGTAAGAGTATAAGGCATATTTCCTGATTAATCGCAATCATGCTACAGATTACTGATCCATACATTATATACATGTTTTTTGGCAGGAAATCTTCTAGGCTAAATACAGCAATGGCCACCAATGGTTTGACATCATTGCTCATTGCAAGACTTGACCATCGAGAAGCTATTGCCCGCTTGACTCTGCTGAAACTCATAAAGGTTTGATGCCTAGCCTTAGCTGGATAGTCCTGAATTTTTGGGACGCTCACTGTGAATGAAATGATTCTTGTAGTTTGTAGAGTTTCAACTTTGTGGTTTATGTATTTTTCCAGGTTGTCTATGAGCACCATCCTCGACCAAAGCAGCTCATAGTAGAGAATGACCTCCCTCAGAAGCTACAGAACCTCATTGAAGAACGCAGGGATGGACAACGGGGCGGCCAACAAGTGTTGGTCAAACAAATGGCCACCTCATTGCTGAAAGCGCTGCACATCAATACAGTATTGTGATTTTAGTGGGCCATGTGTTTTCCTCTCAAGTTGTATATGTTTGCCCTAGAGGAAAAGGTGTCTTTTTCTTTTTGCCTCCTTTTCTGCTGTGGTGATTTCGCATGAGCACCAGACTCCCTTGTTGTACCTGATCCTTCTTTTTTCGGGAAAGGTTCAACGTTTAGGTGCAGGATAAAATGGGCTTTCCATCCTTCAGGGCTGTTTATATTTAGCGTATGTTAGTGAAGAAATTGTAAATTAGACATCTAATTAAAAATACAAAACCCATGTTGGCATTTTGTTTCATGTTAGTAAATTTTGCAAGATTTTTCATCTGGGTGTGGTAGCTGCAATTGGTCTTTTTCGGTATATATACAGCGCATGCTTGGACTAAGATAAATGGCTGATATTGTGGATCCACAAAGCACATATTTTGATAGCGGCTGCCCAGAGGTTGCGTTGAGCTGAGCTGGTGTCCAACCGCTTAGCAGAGTCCCGTTTAACAAGATGCAAGAAGGATCCACAAAGCACATGTTTTGATAGCGGCTGCCCAGAGGTTGCGTTGAGCTGAGCTGGTGTCCAACCTCTTAGAAGAGTCCCGTTTAACAAGATGCAAGAAAACATCACAGGTTCTTTTGATGCATTACATTACATAATTCTTAAGCGTATACACTGTGATGCTAACTACTCGTGCCAAATTCACGGCAAACAGGATTGTTGTTTGTTTATTTCAGCTTCATGAGTTCCACAAGGAAATTTTAAAACTGAAAAACAAGTATCGCAAACAATTATAGATGCTCTGTAGGTAACACGCAAACTCCAATCTATGCATTCTGAGCTCCATGTGCTTTCCAGAGGTTGTTCCATTCCACCATGGCATCGGCTGCTTTGGTGAAGATTGCATTCTTGGATCCTAGTTTCTCACGTACAATTCCAGCTAGCTCCTTTAACACAATCGTCAACAGTAACTGCAGTCCTTGATAGCTTGAGCGACTGGAAGAATGGAAGAACATCATCCATGACTTTTACGCCTTCCCAATCTTTCAAGCTCTCCAGAGCTTTACCTGCTTCTGCATCACTTCTCATCACATAAGGCAGTCCAGTCTTCACACCATATCCCAAGCTGTCGCAAACTACTTTAGCACACAAGCCATTCCATATGTCTTCAAGGGTATCCCATCTGTGCTTCCCTTCATTTTGGAGACGCAGACCTGGGAACATAGCAGGCCCCAGCACATCACGGTTGAATGCAACATTTATCCCACTCACAGGCAGCATCGCACCAAGCGGAACTGTCATCACAGCATCCACATAGGTTGTGTTTCGTTGATTTCTCTTCACAACATGAGTCATTGGGTCGTAGTCAGCATTATGCATCCACAAACCACATGAGAGCATGCACTCAACCCCCTCACGCAGGCTGAATGGGTAACCACGGACAAAGTCAACACCTTTCCTGTATGGATCATAGAGTGTGTTGAAAAAGAAAGGTGTAGCAGGTGTTTTCAGATTGGCCATGTGCTGTGCAACAACATCAACAGTCGACCCAGCAGTGTCCTTCACTGGGAGGCAATTGTCATCAATTGAAATCACATACTTCTTGCGTGAGACAAGATACCCAAAGTAACGACATGAGTGACCAGAGAAGTTTATGGATGAGGCACCAAGAACCCCATTAATATCTGACTTGGTGTAAACCTTGAGATCAAAACCTGTAGGGATTTGAAGATTCTCTGCCATGTCTGGATCTTTGACAACAATGATGTGGAAACGAGAGAAAAATGGCCGCCATGCCTCAAAGAAAGTGGTCAGGTTGGGCTGGAGAGCCGCAATCACAATGTCAACCTCACTATCTTGAATTTCCAAAGGCATCTTCTCAGGTAATCAAAATGATGTAAGCAGCAGCAGGTCTAGAACCTCTCAGAGCACCCTGCAGACAAGCAGATGCCATGTCAACACAAAAGCTGATGTGAGCATAATAACTGAATGAGCAAAAGGGTAATATGGTGTAAACATACTTGTGGGAAGGACTGGTACGATTGGCTGCTTAATGTTGAGCAACTGAACAGCCAAGATGATTTCCTCACAGCCTGTTGCTAGAAACAACTTGAGAACTTTCTCTGTCAGCTTACCAGCACTGAGGGTTCTCTGCAATCAAAATGCAAGAGCACATTACAAAACACATTCTATATTTCTATGTGTAAATATTGAATCGCTTGCAACATAAGAGGACATTCTATGTGTAAATATTGAATCGCTTGCAACATAAGAGGACATTCTATGTGTAAATATTGAATCACTCGCAACATAAGAGGACATCAGTCCACACACTCCTGCGAGGGTGTGATATGATTTCACCTACATCATCATAACTAGAAAATGATAAACAAATTCCAAATGTGTGGGTTCAGAAACCGAATTGTGACACAACTGCTTGCAAAGCCGTGGGCTTCTGGAGTGCCTCATCATGACCATCATTAACTCATCCCCTACTGGTTCCCCACCACACCTTGTCAACTCGATCATGACTGATTTACCATAAACCCAATTCTTTTTAGGTAGCATATAACAAGATCAATTAAATCAATGCAGTATCAAACAAGGAAACACAATCAAAACTGTTTGACACATCACCACATTTGACAAATTTTAGCAAAGCGTGAGATCCCATAACAACTGATCGGAACCCTCGCCCCCTCCTACAATTCCACAAGTTCTATCAAACGTGCACGCGGCACAGCATGTAACGAACGGATCAGACAGCATAACTGCTGAGAGAGCGGACAAGCTCAGCCCTGCCCACCATGATCAATCCGAAACTACTAATTCCACATCGCAAAATGTGCCCAAACCGAAACCACGCACGCGGAGGCGTAGCCTTGGCACCAGTACAGGAACAGGATAAACCAGTAGTGGGGACAGATTCGAGAGGGGCGGAGGGCGCGGCGGGGTACCTACACGGAAGAGGTCGATGACGAGGTGGTCGGGGAGGTGGGAGAGGTCGGCGATGTGGGCGATGTGGAGGAGCGCGGAGTCGAGGGTGAGGGAGAGCAGCGAGGGCGGTCGCATCGGCCCAGATCTGGATCTCGAGCGCCTTTTTATAGCAACTCTCTCCTCGAAGCAAAGGCGCCTCCCCCTCGCGGCCGTGCCACGCCACGTTGCTGCCCTCGATCCTCGCCCCCCGCACCGCTCCCCACGCCCGCTTCGTGTTCCGTTTGCCGGCAGGGCAGCGTAGGAGTAGAGCCGGCCGAGCCGAAGGCCAGGGAGGCCGAGGGGGCGACGACCGCGACCCGCGCACCTATCGGCGACTTTTCACGGCGTTTTCCCCGTCTCCCCCTCGTTTTTCCACCGTGATCCGAAGAGTGGTCACTTTGCGTGATTGGCGGCTCAAATAACATCAATTTCATGTGATTTGAGTGTATTTCTCGAGTGATATGATTGCTTAAATTACATGATTTATATGATGATGGTAAGGTTCTATTTGTATCTAGACTAGTTAGTTGCTAAACTCTAGATCACTTTAGCACATTTGTGAATTAATATTTTCTTAAGATTGACTAAATTTTAAACAACACTTTAAACCACTTGTTTATATATTTATGAGTTAGAGTAACTCGCATATATAGAGTTCGATTCCAAGATGTATTGGGGTCTTGTTTTTTTACTTCCTACTAAATTACCCTTGCACCCTTCCTGTTAAGTAGGTTACCCGTATATTGTCTAATGGTGATACGAGTTACATAGACGCTTTTGCTTTTTTTTTTTTTAGGAAACATAGACTTTGTCGCGTGGATTAGCTTTTTCCGTGTGAGATAAGACTGGGATGGGCCGATATGGGCCCATTTTGTAGTCCACTTCGGGCGCTACATGCAACGCGGCCGATTGGTGCCCACTCACTCGAACGGTCGACGCGCGGCGGTATGGCCGATTGATGTCCGGCCGCGAACGGGCCACGCCAAGTGCATCAGCCCAGGTCTGGCCCGGCCCGCGGTAGACCTCAAGGCAGGGGCAGGCGCATAGCTCTGTTTCGACCTCACAGCGTCGTCCTCTGCTTCTGAAGCGCCCGAGCCGCGCGCCGCCGAACCCGCCGCCTCCCCCAGCCTCCGGGCACACCGGAGCACGCCAACCAGCCACACCCCGACACGGCGGCACCGGAGGAACCCCTCCTTCTTGGTCGTAGCCGCCGTGGCCTCCCTCCCCCGTCCCTTCCGGCGTTGGATTGAGGGTGGAGCGGAGATCCGCGACGGCTTGGATTGATCTCTGGTTGGTAAGGAACCCTAGCTTGCTTGGGTGGATTCATCTGAGTGCGAATTCGATTCCGCGATGTGTTTCAAATGCTCTGGCCATTCGAATCAAAATATTCCCTTGTCAGCATCAGTTAATAGGGGATTTTGCTGCTGCGTAGTGCAGCGCTTATCTAATCCATCCATCGATGCTTTGATTAGGCCCTTCCTCCTACGCACGATAGTCGAAGCCATAGAGAACTTGGGATTCTAAGGTGCTGGTGCAGCTTCTTCTCGCAGAAGTTTAACCCCCATGCCCCTCGCTAAGCCCACCCCTGTGATCCCGCCGTGACGCATCATCCTCAGTAGAAACGCCATGATGTCAAGGTCAGATCTTCGGCTGTTATTATCCTATAGAGTTTATTACATTCTATATTTCTATGCTAGTTAGTGTGATGCCCTGGTGCTGTTTGACCAATGCTGAAGTGTAAATTGCTCCCCTGTGACTTCCAGGTTTGCCCACTTAGGGAAGAGCAGAAAACTTGCTCAAGCCCTTTTGGTCTCCTCAAAACCCAACACTGCTACTGGCCAAAACATTACCTCAAGCTTTGCATTTGGTTTGGGTTATTCCAGCAGGGCCTTTTTGCATGGGAGGGTTCATAATGGTCCAAGCACCTCCTACATGCTGGGAAGAGCAAATGATGGCTTACACTGGAGCACTGGTGTGAGGAAGTTCTCAATTCTTTCGTCTTGTAGCCAGAATGCATTTCAGAGTCAACTTGCTTGGAAGCGACTTGTGGCAATGGGTTCTCGTGCACCAAAAGCATCTCCATTTTTGAGTAGGGTTGCTTGTGCCATTGGCTTGGCTGTGAGTAGGTCTAATATAGCTCCTTACCTCGTTGCTTTCATTGCGGGAGAGGTAATGCTAGCTCAGAAGACATCTGCAGATGGCGAATACTACCCAATACATGAGCGAGCTCAGGATGGCCGTATTTACGTTACCTCTCTAATATATTCGGCAGTAGAGCTGGTTATTATAATCTTCAGATCAATATATTTGGCATTGTTGTTCACTCCGAGTATACTGATGGCCCCATTTGCAGAGACTCTTGGCAGTAAGTATAGGAAAACATGGCTTCGGCTTGTCCGTCGTACTTTGGAGCTTGCCGGTCCTGCGTTTATCAAATGGGGCCAATGGGCTGCAACACGCCCTGATCTGTTTCCAAGTGACCTTTGTACTGAATTGTCAAAGCTGCACACAAAAGCACCAGCTCACAGCTTTAAGTATACCAAGAAAACTGTTGAGAAAGCTTTTGGTCGAAAGCTATCAGACATTTTTGAGAATTTTGAAGAGAACCCTGTTGCATCTGGAAGTGTTGCTCAAGTGCATCGGGCTGTTTTACGATTCCGGTATCCCAATCAGCAGACAAAGCGTGTAACAGTTGCAGTAAAAGTAAGACATCCTGGTGTAGGAGACTCGATAAGAAGGGATTTCAATATCATCAATGCAGTAGCAAAAATTTCTAGATATATCCCCACGCTGAATTGGTTGCGCTTGGATGAGAGTGTACAACAGTTTGCTGTCTTCATGATGTCTCAAGTTGACCTTGCAAGGGAAGCTGCTCACCTGAGCCGGTTTATCTACAACTTCCGAAGGTGGAAGGATGTATCTTTCCCAAAACCTCTTTATCCACTTGTTCATCCTGCTGTTTTGGTCGAGACTTACGAGCATGGGGAGAGTGTATCACACTATGTTGATGACCTTGAGGGACATGATCGAATTAAAAGCGCTCTGGCCCATATTGGCACTCACGCGCTCTTGAAAATGCTACTGGTAATGTATTTTTAGACATATCGTAGCATCCTCATTCAGTATATATGACTACCTAATTTGAACAACTGAAGAAATTAGTACTATGCGAAATCTGGACTATATGTTGTAAAGATCGAAGAGACTTCAATATTTTATTTATGCATCGAAATGACACTTTTTGCTGCTTTGTTCTGGAAAATAATTGCTATAAGAGATTACTAATTCTGGATCCAAGATTGTGAGCCCACCGATAAAATTTCTGAAGCAAACATATCTATTGCAGGCTTTTCAGCATAGTTATTCATAGGTATATTTTTTTTACTTTTTTAGAGCTTGTATTTACAGCTAACATTTTTGGTCATTTTGTGTCCTTTTACAGGTTGATAATTTCGTCCATGCAGATATGCACCCAGGAAATATTTTAGTCCGTGTTGTACAACCAAAGAACTCAAATAGCACCCTTATAAAGTCAAGGCCACATGTAGTCTTCCTGGATGTAGGAATGACTGCTGAACTTTCAAGTAATGACCGTGTGAATTTACTTGAGTTCTTCAAGGCTGTTGCTCGCCGAGATGGTCGTACAGCTGCAGAAAGTACTCTAAAGTTGTCAAAACAACAGAATTGCCCAAATCCAAGAGCTTTTATTGAGGTAATTTATCGCTACCTTACAACTAGTCTTTTCGTTGGTGATAGAAACTCAGATTTTATTGGCGAGGATTCTCTCTCCTTTTCCATGATAAAGCAGGCTGCTACTGTAATTGGTGGCCTGTAGCATTTACCTTCAATTTCACAAAATGTATCTGCACAATATAGATTACCAGCAGAAACTGGAAATGACAAATTTTCTTTTAATTTATAGGTTGCTACGACTTGGTTTAGGGTCAGGAGAGTGCCAATTTGGTGCTTCCTCTGTTTTGTTACGTATGTTTATTTTCTTGGATTGGATAGTACTGTTGTTCTCAATGTAACTCCAATTTTGTCCACACTCAAACTCCTTGATTGATGCTATGAAAGAGGTTCAGCGGTTGGAGTCATTAATGGGCGATCATTTGGTCCAATCTCATTAGCTGTGTTGTATATTTGCCTATTTGTTGTCTCCTTGATCTGTAATCTGTTCCTGCAATGGGAATGGTCTCATTACAAAAGAGGGAGTATTATCAGAGGTGGTGTCACAAAGCCTGAGGTTCTAGGAAAAAAAAAATCGAAGCTGATTCATTGATTTCTGATGCTGTGTGGACATGCGGTAGTCTCTGATGCATGCACATTTGGTCTGGTATGTGGCCTTATGCTGCCACAGAAATTATATTCTACCCTTAAAGTTTGTCAGTAAAATATCATATTTGGATGGACAAATTTGATGGTAAAAAGTGACACCCTAGATGCACTATAATGTGCCAGAACTCAATGTTGGATACTATTTCCTATGTATTTTTCTGCAATGTCATCAGTGACCAGTAACTCTTCTCTTTTGATGAAAATGGCAATTGCAAATGATAGTTGTGTTAATTTATTTTTATGAGTGCGGTTGTTGAAAATTCTTAACTTAATTTATGCTACAGGAAGTTGAACGATCATTATCTTTTTGGGGCACTGCTGAAGGTGATGCTGTCCACCCAGCTGAGTGTATGCACCAGCTGCTTGAGCAAGTTCGTCGTCACAAAGTGAATATCGATGGCAATGTTTGTACTGTCATGGTGACTACATTAGTTCTTGAGGTAACTTACATGACTTGTTTTTACTTCACTGAATTTTACTCTCAGATTACTCTTTTTTTATTTGGAGAGCTTTAAGCCAACTTAGCCATGTTTGTGTTATAAACTCTGCATTGTTTTTGCAATTTTGACTCTACACATCTTGCTCCTCCTGTAGTTCTTTTATTTGTCTAATTTCCAGCTAAGATGACGTGTTCATTCGTAATCAGATAGGATTCCACAATGTGGCTATGTAAACTGCTTTATGTAATTGTCTATTTGTGTATTACACCTTTGTCTCTTTAATTGCAAGAATACCTTTGGTAGCCATTCCTTTTCCATTTGTGATTCTTCAATTCTGTTCACTTTTATCACAGGGCTGGCAACGCAAGTTGGATCCAGATTATAATGTTATGAAGACACTACAAACGTTACTTTTCAAGGAAGACTGGGCAAAGTCTCTTCAATACACGATCCAAGGGCTCATGGCGCCTTAGGGTCAGTTTTGATCTGGTTTGTGTTCAGCTGGAGGATCCTCTGTTCTCACCATCACGTTTCTTTTCTTTTCTACTTTATTTGCTCTTAGATTACACAGTTCTCTGTACCCGTCCTAGCCTTGTGCTGCTAAAGCAGCCTTGATGATAAAGTAATAATAGCAGCAAATTTTCAGAAGCTACCAGAGTACTATGCTGTAGAGTGCATTGCCCTGGACTATCTTCTTATATGTTCTTAATGGGCCAAAGGATTAGGTCCTTTTTTCCTCCTCCCAACACCTTTGACAATAGCTCTTAGATGATGTAGCAAAAGGCGTTCTGTTCTGATGATCTTTTTGTAACTGGAGAGATTGTATAAGTGAACAAGAGAGTTGCTTATGTACACACAGAGATACTGTTAATCGCTCGAAGAAACCTACTTCTCAACTGACAATTCCCAGGATTAACGTCCATAAAGAGGCTCCCAATTTTTCTTGTTTTACATGTATTAGCAACGCAGAACGCCTGAAATTTGAATGAGTTTGCTGGTAGGGAACTATATTGGACTTCGTTTACAGTCAGTTTTGCATTTGAGTTGACATGTTATCCTGTTACCAAGGGCCAAGGGCCTGATTTGCTGGTAGGGAACTATATTGGACTTCGTTTACGGGCAGTTTTGCATTTGAGTTGACTTGTTCTCTTGTTACCAAAGACCAAGTACTTGGCTTGCTGGTAGTGAATAAGCTTATGGATATCTTTTACTATGGACGGATCTCACAATGTTTAAGCTAGTTGGAGATTATTTTAATTTCTATGGACTGCTTTTTTGAACAACATTGTGGTGGCTCTTTACGTTTATATAGGTCATAAACTTGGAACAACATTATGGTTGCTCTTATATGTTAATAGGTCATAAGCTTGTAACACGAAGCGTGCACTCCTCAATGGTCTGCCCTTCACAGTGACGCTTCTGCTTCGTGTGTGCGTGTGTGCATATTCAAGTCTGGGTATCTGTCGCTGATTCTAACCCCTGCACTGCACTGCAAGCGGCTGCACGAGGTGACAGAGACAACAGCTCTAGCTATCTGGTCCCAGTAGCGTCCGGATTTTAGGCCCGTTGCCTGGGTCAACTAACGAGCAGATAGATAATGCAGGAGGAGAAAGCCACACGCACACACACATTCCTGATTCCTCAGGTCGGGGCTGGATGGAACCGTGACACACCACCTGCTGTAGCCGCAGCGCTTCACCGTCAAGCAAGCAATCATGCTGGTGCGTCCCTGCCCGACAGACGAACACGAGAGCACGGAACGTCAGAACGACCCTGCGACCCAAATTTTTTCATTTTAGCCCCTTTTTTTTAAGAAAATTTATGTTTAGCCCCTGAGTGATGTAAACTAATCATGGGACCCTGAGGTCGGTACCAGAACACGTGGCTCCGAGGTAACACGTCTCAGCGCCATTACCTATGGCGCTGAGGTGCCTGGCCACGCACAACATGACAACCGAGGTGGCACTGACGTGGCAGGTACCTCGAAGCCACAAATCTTGGCACTGAGCTCGGAGCCAAGATCTGTGGCGCCGAGCTCGGAGCTGTGGAGCTTGGCGCCGACCTCGGAGCCATGGATCTTGGCGCCAAGCATAAATTCAAAAACCACGGCCAAAGTTTCCCTGGCAGAGGCTGCTTTCATTTGTTCCTCCTCTCTCTCGGGTTTTTGCTCTCCCCAACCCGTCCAATCTCTTGAATCGATGAATTTAACCTTGAAAACTTAGATTTGATCCATTGATCTTCGTGAGCAAGGTATTCTCTCTCCTCTCATCATTTTTTACGCATTGATTTGGTATATATTATGTCTATTTTGCAACCCTAAATACGTTATTACTTAGTGTTTGAAGTGATTTTTATTTTTTGTATTATGTAACGGTGGGATGCCAAGACGTGGTAAAGCTAGTAAGCTAAGGTAATCTCTTATCATCGTGTTATATTATGGTTTCATATATGTGCAACAAATGAAAAACCCTAGGTTTATGGTTTAATGTTTATTGCTTTCGGTTCTTAGAACAAAATTGGTTCAATTGTAATTATGGCCGGATGACCGGAAATGCCTTCGACCCATTGCCTCTGCCTAGTGGTGTTCCAATGCCCATGTGCTTTTACGGTGATCCTTGTAAGGTAGCCAAGTCCGATAGAAAGGACACGTATAGGCAGAGGTATTGGATGTGCGCCAATTTTACGTTTCAGCCTACATTTCGTCAGCCCGCATTAACAAGATGGTGAGAAATTGATGTTGTGTATAAATTATTTTATGTCATATGAAATCATGCATGATTTATTTATTGTGTAACAATTGCATGTACTGCAGATCCCTTCACCGCTCTGTGATTTTGAGCAGTGGATCGACACTGAGATCAAGCCGAAAGACAAGGAGTGGATGCAGAAACTGTTGCGGTGGGAGGCAGAGGACGAGGAGATGATGGAGAAGAGACGCAGAGAGGAGGCTGCAGAAAAGGAGCACAAGAAAAAGGAGGAAAGGAGGCGTGTTGCTGCGTATAGGGAGGAGAGGGACAAGAAACTTGAGCGTGCGCGCAGAGTGCAAGCAGCGATAGAGGAGAATCCTGATGACCTGAGGAAGGGAAAGTAGCCTCGTTGCACTCAGTAGTCTGCATGATTTGCTAGTTCTATGGTTTATTCATGAACAATGTTTTTTAGTCTTGGACTTTGCATTGTGTTGTCATGTAATGCACTTTAAGTATGGACGTACTTAGGCCATGTACTACATAATTTAGTTTCTCGGCATATACTTCTATTGGTAATGTGTTGTTTAATATGCCCTATTATTGATCATTTCATTGTGGTGTTGTTTTCATTATTTGTGGTCATAATATTTAGTTTAATGTTACGGAGCTAGTGAAACCAGTTCACGTACTGCAAATAAAACCTAACAAAGTAGTGCATTGCATAATTCAACACGCACAACAAGCACACGAAATAGCATGTGAGAATATGTACCAAACAATGGTACATAGTTTCTTCGACTAAACCTGACATGCCTTAGGTAATTAAATCAAACAACAAACACATGGGTGTGGCGTGTGAATAAGATATGTTCATCTTAGTAGTGTGGCCACATAGCAAATTGTGTTGCACCTTCTCCACGGTAGCCTCCCATTGTTGGTGGGGGTGGGGTGGTGGCGGAGGTGGCGGCGGAGGCCCCTTGTTTTTGTGATTAGGGCAGGTACAATATGGATCATTGCAGAGTGCCTCCTGTTAACCTACACCATTGTTGTTGTTGTCGTCTTCATCTTCCTTGTAACCGCTGCTAACTTCCCTTTCTAGATCGAAGATAAGGTCATGTAGGTAGTAGATGTACTGCTAATACGGATAAATTAGTCGATGATCGACCCACCTAGTGAACCCACAGTTTTCTTCGGACTCAGAAGACTACAATAAGTATATCATGTGAGTTGTAAGGGTATTCGAGAAACATATTTAACAAACAAATAGTACTAGCAATTACCCATGCTTGCGGGCATTTGAAGAAGCGACGACTTCCGTCGATCCTCTCGGTGAACATCTGCGCTAAGCGGTCCTCACCGTGCATGCACTGTGACCCTCGGGCAAGGTTGACTGACATGTTGCACGAGAGTGGTACTTCCTGTCCACACATCATGTGTTTTGATTGCACTACTGGCTTAAAGGTCTGATTGTACTGTTTCCACATGCGAAGTTACAAACTGAACCCCTAGATATGTTTTAATACTAACTACTACATCTGAATTAGACTATGCGGCATTAACGCAAGGCTGATTGGATATAGCTGGATGTTCATAACTATTGAGATTTTAAGCTATAGAGTTTGCAGTGCTGTTCCAGTAATCTGTAATTTGTTCTTCCTAGACATGCAGGTTAAAAGAGAAGAGGTGAGGTGGGATGCAAGGAAATTTCTACGGGACATGCAGCTCTACCAGACATTGGAAAAATGGTTCCTGTGCATATTTCAATGTTGCTTACTTATGCAAGTCTATTGACGTCAAGAACGGCTCCACGGGTCACTCCTGCCTCAACACTTCCTCCATCTTCCTCCAGGCACCCTTTGCATTCCAACAAAACTGACATTCACAAACTCATCTTTCTCCACACTTCCTCCATGATAAAAGGATGACTACGTTGTCCATCTAGTTGATTTGCGCAACACCAAAGTTATTACGGGTTAAACTAATACGGGTATAACTAAATTACATACATAAATAAGTATCCAAGCCTCCACCTAAATAAATAAGTATCTAAACTACCTAACTATCTATCAAACTATATAAGTAAATTTACTAACTACATTGACTACAAGTACTACCTATATAACTAAATTACCTAACTATCTAACTACTAATCTAAATTAGCTAAATATATAAACTAACTACCTACATAATTCAATTGTCTCACTATCTACCTAAATTAGCTAACTAATTTACATCAGTAAATAACTAAAAAAGCTAACTAAATTATCTCACTACATAACTATATATAAAATAAATAACTACATTATCTAAACAAACGAAATTAAAAAATGAAATTAAAAAAATTACCTGAGATGGCACTTGGATAACGGCCGGCCGAGGGTGGAGGGGGTGGCCTCAATGGAAGGCCGGTGGTGGGAAGGGCGGCGGCGCCGCCAGCGGCCTGCCGGCGGCCCACCGATCGGCGGGGATGCCGGGGAGAAGCGGGGCCGCCCTCACCGCCGGTGCGCGCTTAGGATGACGATGCGGCGATGAGGGCGGACGGGGGCGCGAGGGAGCGGACAGGCGCGCGGGGAACGGCGGGCGAGGGCCTGCTGCGGTGGCGCGGGCGGCTTGACGGCAGCGGCGGGCAAAGCTAGCGGCGAGGAGAGAGGGAGAGACAGAGGGGCTTCTGCCTGTGTAGGTTTAATAGGTCGGCGCCATAGATCTTGGCTCCGAGGTCGGCGCCAAGATCTGTGGCTCCGAGCTCGACGCCAAGATCTGTGGCTCCGACCTACCGGCCACGTAAG